TTAATATGTATATATATACATGTGCATATATATATATATACACATACAAACAAACAAACACACACACATATATATACATACATATATATATATAAATATATGTCACATGCTTGTTGTTCACTCATACATAATACTACAGGATCAACAATCAATATATATATATATACATGTACACACACACACACACATATATATATATAATATACAATATATATATATAGATAGATAGATAGATAGATATATATATATATAAATGTATATATATATATGCTTGTTGTTCACCCATATATGATATTGTAGGAACAATAATCAAGCACTCCTAGTATCAGATTCGCCTTCTAAACAAGCGCTTCTGCTACACACCCGCCCACTTATCAAAACATCTCACCCGTTGTAAGCTACCAGGTGGGCTCCGCGCTCACCCACATCCTCTGTCTTACACACGTAGACCGGACACTGCTTAATAGCACCCGAGACACGTCCCTTGTCAAACACAACCTCCTTGAAGTTAGGGTCATCCAATATCCACGACAGGTTCTTAGCTGCTATACCACCAGAGACGTACAGACCCCCTGTGGGCAGCCATTTGAGCATGGCGTTGCCTAGTTCAGAGGCGTAGGCTGTGAAGAAGATGCTCATGGCCTGTGGGAGAAGGAGATGCACTGGTTAGCGATAGTGTATGTACATCATATATATATATATATATATACATATGTACATAACATGGTGTTGGGGATGATTTTGCAATACAAAAACTTGAAGGGGTGGTGATATATGCATCGTATATATATATACAACAACAATGTGAAAAGGGAGATTGTATATATATACATGATACCCATACATAACATTGTGAAGGGCTGGTGAGATATGCATCATATACATACAACACATTACATATACTTACATGATACATATCCATACCTTTGTGAAGGGGTGGGTATTATATATATAGTAATGTATGCCAATGCTTTGGCTCAAGGGTTGATGATTGGATAAAAATAGGAATGTGCATGACAGTATATCTTTCAGCCGTATCGGTGTATGCTCGACGTACCTCTGTTGCAACCTAGTCGGCGAGTGCACTAAGATGCGTATGCGCAAACAGATATATGTATGTGTATGCCACAGACGGTCACAGACGCACCTACAAATTTGCCATAGACGTACCTACAGGATTGCCACACATACACACACCACACCACACACACACATATATATATACCTGCTTACAGAGGCCCTCGCCGGAGTTCTGTCCCACTACCCCACCCTTCTGGGCCCTAGCAGCCTTCCAATCATTGTGAACTTTCTCGTTAATCTGATCCGGATATTTGCCCGCCAAAAACTCGTAGATGTCCGAAATACCACTATGAGTGCAACGAGTTAAGACCAGAAAGCGGGTATGTGTCCTTAATTAGAATAACTATACATACTGTCATTAAAAGTAGTGCTTAATCGAAAGCAAAAGTATTTTCTTCACGGGAAATACGACAATGTGACCTACAACAAATCATACGTGGAATACGACAAGATTACCTACAGCAATCCCAACGAACACCGAAACCCTGACACCCAGGCTAATACGATAAGCACCAATTCTCAATTAGATAGCCTTTAAATAGGTCAAACATCACTTCTTGATAGATCCAGGGCTACTTACTTGCCGGAGATTACGCGCTCCACACTGATGCGTGATGTCTGGTTGTACTTGAGTCGCATGTGGTCCAAAAACTCCAGTTCCAGTTCAGTCCTGGGAGCCCAATCAGTGTGTCCACCCTCGGTGGCCCTAGAATGTAGTACCAAGTAGGTATTGGTTCAATAAAACTTTATGTTTCTGATGACTCATCAGCAGGACACAAATCCCGAATCCCATATTTCCAGTGGATAAATATCCCTTACTGTAGGGCCAGTCTCACAGTCTAGCACAATATATATATATATATATATATATATATGTATATATTATACATATACATATATATATATATTTATATATTATACATACATATATACATATATATATATATTTATATATTATACATACATATATATAATATAATATAATATATATATATATATATATGTACAATATAATATATATATATATATATACATACAGATGTATATACATATATATATAAATAGATATATCGATATATTTATAGATATACATCAATATATATATACATGCATACACACACACAAACATGTATATACATACACATACACACACATATTCATATACTACACACACACACACACACACATATACATATACCTACACACACATATATATATAAATATAAATATAAAAATAAATGTATATATAAATATATATATATATGTATATATGTATATGTATATGTATATATATATATTATACCATATGCCGTCGTGAATCCATAGCCAGACAATTGAATAGGGACCCCAATCGTGTATCTATACCCCAACTTGTTATTAAAGTTGTCACACACATACACCGGCAGATGTAATGGTAGGCCTTGCACTGATTTCTACAAAATTCTCGTGTATTTTAAAAACAACCACCAGAGCAATATTTAAATATCGGAATAGAAAGCACTCGTCCCAGTATGTTCCTGCACTCACTGAAACAACCGTCATAGCAACCGTAACAACTGTCAAAAACCGAAACAACCGGCGTGACAACTATAACAACCGTCATAGCAACCATGACAACCATCGTAGCAACACAACAACCGTCATAGCAACCAACCATAACAACCAGCGTAGGTAAGCACACCACTCACCCACTCGCCCGTATACAGACCACTCACACAGCGCCCCACCGCTACAGTAACGTCTCAGATAAGCTAACTCCTCACCTACCAGCACGTGTAGCCAGCACTCTTAGGGTCCTTAGTTAAGAAGCACTCGCCCAGTCCTGTGCCTGCGCCCACAGTAGCCACCACACCACCCTCAACTGGCGCAACATCATTCAACACAGCCACATCATCCGCAGTCAGGGTCAACAGACCGTAGCTGTGGGGGATACGAGTCACCACGTACGATAGGGATCAATTCTAGATACGTACATGTATATACATACATGCGTATCGTATCGTATCGTATCGTATCGAATCGAATCGAATCGTATAGTATCATATCGTATCGCATTGCATCATATATATATATATATATATTGGTATCGTTTGAGTCAGAGTGAACAGATCGTATCGTTGATTAGTTTTACAGCCGTACGGGTAAACGTGCAAACTATGTATACGTGTATAAGTATAGATACAATTTTGAACATGGGTGTACTTGAATATATACATCTCGCATGGCAGGTCAGCTATTCATCTGTCGGCGGCGTATAGTACAGCCAAACTATCAAAGTTAAGACCATATCGTTTATTGTTGGAAATAAAGGAATACGCAAATACGCGACATGTATAACTAAGAGTATATAGGTATCCGTAAATGTTGCAAACAGAACC